AATTATATGCTCTTTAAAATTTACATATTAGAAAACTGGGAGATTGAATGACAGTCTAGGCTTTTTGCTCAGTTTCTGAGTAGAATAAAGTTATAGAACAGCAAAGAGAAAGAATTATTTCAGACAATAATGTTTGGAAATATTTACAAACTCTGTACTATGAATTAATCTAACCATCATTAATATATAACTGGGTAGGCTAATGTTTTTTTATTCTTCACATAGTCAGATAAAAAGAAGCTAATAATGGAATCTCAAGTATGGAAGAAGAAGAATCATTTTCTGACCTCTAAGTAAAGGATTTTTTTTAAAAAAAAAAATGATAGTGAGTTTATTTCCATTTCCAATTATTAATCCTAATCATTAAATTATCCCGATAATTATCACCCAGAATTGAACCAACAGAACCATGAGGCAATATTAAATCGAACTGTTCAATGAACCTCAATATCTTGGTAACAAGTTCTTTTGGTTTTTTGGGGAGGGAAACCAGCATGCTTATAAGCAACATTTATAATCCAAAGCTATGCAGGGTTTGGGATATGATTCAGCAGTTTATTTCATCCTTTGTTTTGAATGGTGAGGATAAAATGAGCTCATATAAAAGAAAAGGACTATGTCCTCTTGCCATACAAAAGTAGTTTAATACGATTAGAGGGCTGAGATTCCGGTTATATTTGAGGATGGAAATAAAATGACATATGCATCCAAATAATATTCCATTTTTTTAAAAAAAATCTTTTAGCCCTTCATTTTTTAAAATCAAGATATTACTACTTCCATTTTTACTCTCTTATACTTTTGTATAATTATTATCAGTCTGCTGTGCTGAATGTTGTGCTTTCTTATATTTTTCTATTATCATAGAAACGTGGTAAAAAGGTAAAAAAAGTTAAAAAGTAAAAAAAAAACTTTTTCCCATATTGTGGATCCAATTCAATCTTTTACTATGACCATGGAATAAAAATTAAAACATTAAAACAAAACAGAGCAAGACATAATAGGGTATTACAATTAATGATGGGATCATGAATGGGTCACCAGAATCTGCCTAGTTTTACAGACAATATAGCAGAATTTAGGTACCAAGAAACTTCATNTTAGTAATCATTGGTTAATATAAAAGCATTTTGTAAGGTTAGTGTATTAAATTGGGCTAGATCACATCCCTACTATGAGATTATTGAATTATTTAAGAAATGTTACTTTCCTTAACACCTCAGTTTTAATGAGGCACTGTATAGAATAGCATTGTGCATTGCCAATAAAATATTTTTTCCTCTCAAATTTTTGCATGGCTAGAATTACACTGTTGATCCTTTTATTAGGCAGTGTTCTAGTGTTACTGTATCTCATAAGCAATAAAATATTAATCAGAAATGAAAACACAGATAGTCCTTGACTTACAACCACAATTAAGCCCAACATTTCTGTTGTTAAGCGAAACATTTGTTAAGTGAATTTTGCCCCATTTCATGACCTTTCTTGCCCCAATTGATAAGTGAATCACTGCAGTTGTTAAGTTAGTGACACAGCTTCCCCATTGATTTTGCTTGTCAGAAGGTTGATCACATGACCCCAGGACACTGCAATTGTCATAAATACGAACCTGTTGCCAAGTGTCCGAATTTTGATCACATGACCTTTGGGACAGTACAATGGGTGTAAATGTGAAAAATTGTCTTACGTCACTTTATTCAATCTGTTGTAAGTTTGAATGGTCATTAAACGAACTGTTGTAAGTCAAGGACTACCTGTATGTGCAAGTTACATTTTTACAATAATTCTGAATTATGCTTGTAGTAAATGATTTCATATTATGCTTTTTATTTAAGACCAGTGTAAAATCATACTTGAATGACAATTTTTGCTTAGAATTTGGGCTGCTCTAAATATGAGTCTACTTTGTATTGGCTGATCTTACCTTTTTCTACCTTAGGCTACCACTGACAAGAAACCATTGGCTTCCAAGGTAGCTGTTGGCAAGGTAGCTGTTGGCACAGCTGGAACAGTCACAGCTGCTGGCTTGACTGCTGCATCTGCAGAGGTGAGTTTAGTGGTGGTTAGTGGTGTGTGTATGTGTAATTATGAACTAGCTCTGAGAAATACATTCTTGTTTTCAGATTAAAGAACATAAATTGGTATCTCCTGTTCCAGTTACTGCAGGCAGTAAACCAGCAGAAAAGGTAAATAAAGGGTTTACTTGCTATGTATTCTACTGCTGTATTATTATCTTTTAAAGAACCATTTTAAAAGTAGCTAGCCAGCATGGATAATCTTGATATTCTTTTAAATATGCACAATCAGCTTTATTTCAATCTGTAATTTCCCCATCATTACTATGGTGACTCCTAACTCCTGAGAAAATAAAATTTAGAGCTATATTGTACTACTTATACAAATGTTCAGCAAGTATTGCGGGCCCAATTGGCAAAGGAAAACTCAGGACCATGTATAGGTTGGAAATATGCGGAAGAGTCCTTCATCCTACAGTGATAGACAATGGCTAAAATGATGATGATAATGATGATGGATGATGATGATGATGATGTCTATGGTGATGATAATGATGATATAAATGTACACTTGTATGTGTGCCACATGCACACTTGAATAAGTGGCACATATAATCCCTTACTGCCCTGACTGGAAGGCTTTGTCCATACTTTTATCTTTTTAAGCTGCTTGACTCATGAATAATCTTTCTCTCACTTTAAATCTCTGCCGTTTTGCTTGCTTGCATTTGAGTAATTTTTCTGTTTGTCTATAAATCTCTCCTTGAGTCCTTTTTAGGCCTCAAGTTCTTTACTAAACTATCCACTTCCTTTTCTTTTTCCTAGTCATTTCTTCTAGGCGGGGCCTCTCTGAGTCAAGCTTACTGTTACATCAAGCAGAGTCCCTATGCCTGTATTATCTTTCTCTCTAGACATCTGTCTTCTTGTACTCAAAACACCACACCTTTTATATATTTTCAAATTCAGCATTTGTTTCTTCCTCTTACCTCTTCAGGGTGATCTTCCTCCTCCTCCATTCCAATTTTCCTAAAGATTTCCTTTTTTGTATACTAAAGAGCTCCTTATTTGATCCTATGATCCAACTGTCTTATTTTCCAAGTTATCCCAGCTTTGCCTGCATCTTCAGGTCCTATTTCCTACATTCCGCTAATTTCAATACCTACTGTAGATATCTGGATTTCTAGCAACTAAGTTATTTATTTCTTTTATTTGCATATTGCCCAGATTATTTCTCCAATGTTAAAATATCTCCTGGGTTACATAAACTATAACTTTAGATGCTAATATTTCATTGAAACCTTTTAGAATTTAGATAATATGTTGTTAGATTTTACTGCATTAGTTTTATATATTTGATTATAATAATTTTAAGCTGTATTTACTAAATAATATCTTAACATAGAATGTTATAGTAGTCACCTACTCCATGTCAGTGCTATATATTATTAAAAAAAATGTCTCCCTAGTCTGATTTAGATACTGCCTTAGATGATTTAATAGATACACTTGGAAGTCCTGAAGAAAATGAACCACCTGCTCCAATATATACTGGACCAGAAGTTTCGGTATGGGATTTCTTCTATAAAAACCTTATGCATGAAGCCTGCATTTTTATAATTACATTTTATAAATTTGCTTGTAAATAAAATAATGATAAGTTTATCCAAGTTTTGTTTTCCCATGTGACATCCCTGAACATTAGTGTATGCCTCTCTATTATGCATTTTTCAAGTTTTTAAACCACATTGAAGCCTGGATTAGTTTAACTGTGGTGTTTTCTTTCCTATTTCCATTACCCCTTCATTTTTTATTTTGCGTTGCTTATCAGTATATTGTGATCATTTTGTTTTAATTCAGTTGTTAAGTCCAAATGAATTTAGGACAGCTTGCTTCCATGGGAATTGGTCTAGCTAAGTGAAGTGACTGAAAAGAAGTTTATGTTATTATCATAGAATGGTAATCTGGTCTAGAGACCATTAGATGTAGCATTACAATGTTGTGAAAGAATTATATGCTCTTTAAAATTTACATATTAGAAAACTGGGAGATTGAATGACAGTCTAGGCTTTTTGCTCAGTTTCTGAGTAGAATAAAGTTATAGAACAGCAAAGAGAAAGAATTATTTCAGACAATAATGTTTGGAAATATTTACAAACTCTGTACTATGAATTAATCTAACCATCATTAATATATAACTGGGTAGG